AGCTGAGTCCTAACCATTTGTACCACCCAGGGACACCATAATGGGTAAATAAAAGGTGTTAATATGAGCACACAGGAGTGGCACTAACTTTTATCTTAGGAGGATCAGGTAAAGTGTAGGTTTATTATCTGAATTCTATTTACATAATCTCAAATTATGTTTTGTTTTTTTTAAACAGGCAACAAACAGGCATTTTCCACAGACTGTAACAGGGGCATATCTGAGTGGTGTTCGAGAAGCAAGCAAGATTGCAGCATTTTAATTAGAATTTGTCTGGACCCAGCTTTCTGTCCCCCAAATGGAAAAATTTGAAATATGTTATATATCCCAGTTTCTTGAGAAGGGGAAAAAAAAAAGCTCTCTGGATAGCAAAATTGAAATATGTTAAGGTGATATGATAAACATGTTTCATGCCACTCTGAAAGCACTAGTCTCAGCAACCCTAAGCACTTATATTTAATTGCATTTTCCACTTAACAGGTCTGACTAATGGTAAAAGTCTTCTGGATTGTAGAAGAGTAAGGCAGAATATAACCTTAAAGAACTTGGATGTGATTCTTGTATGGTTGGAGGTTCTCCTCAGATCTGACATTTTGTCTGACTGATCAGTTTTCACACATTGAGAAACCAAGTCAAAACAAAGCAGGAATCATTAAGAAACCAGATAAAGCCATGTTTTTCTTCTATGACAATGCATCAGTATCTTTACCAATGAGCCTTAAGATTTTTATATAGCTCTAATACTGAGCTTTTACTTAAAATTTAGATAATCTTTTTTGATACAGCACAAACAGCTTCAGTACAAAAGGTACAATGAAGCTTCTAGACTGTTTTATATTGTACATATTTATTCCCCCTGGGTGTTTAAAAGGAATTTAAATTTAGGCATCTTGTGACAAAAGTCTAGATTTGTGCACTCATTGGCAAAACAGCAAATTTTTCAATCCCTTCAACAGACTCCAGGTATTTTAGCATTCAGAATGGAATGGAGAGATTGTGGTCTTCACACTAAAGACACAGAATATGGCTATTTTTCATGAAGCAAAATTTGGGTGGGTAGCACACTTTAAGCATCCTTAACTTTGGCATCCAGTAGCAAAAAATATCTTGTCAATTTAACTAAAGCTCCTCCCTATTTCCCTTTTAAAATAAGATTCAATTTGTAGCAATATTTTTTTACAGTTATGTTTACAGTATTCCATAGGCAGGTCCATGGGAAAACTGCAGAAAACTATTATGTCCTGGTAAATACTACATTTTATAAGCCATATATCTTTAAGAGCCTGAGAGCATGGCAAACATTCACTTTTTCCTTTTTCACTCATGACAGAATTGTTTAGTGTGTCATTTAAAATACACATTTGTTTCAGGGTCTTCAGAATTCATATTTTGCCAAGAAACCTAAAAATTCAATTTACAAAATTTAAAGAAATGTCTTTTAATAATTTTTTCAATTATACTGGTCTGCTTTAAAAAGGGACTTACTTATAAATGATTATAGCCACTTTTCAAAATATTAGGTATTTTTTAAGTCAGTTTATAAGTAGACATAGTATTTTCTGCAAAGAATATGTGGTGAACTTTAGAATTTAGATGTCCCCTTCTTTTCCACCAAATTATGATACAAATAAAGGTAAATAGCCTTATAAAGTTAACACACGAAAACACTGACATTTAGGTTACTGTTGAGACTCATTGGTACTGATGGGGAAGTATTCTGCTGTTTAAAGTGTTATGTATTCAAATGTTTAAAAGAATAGCATGTGTTAAGTGATAAATGCAAAATAACATGTTCAGTTTGAAATGGTTCACAGTAAATTATTAGTCTCTGGGCACTTATATTTGTACTGTGCTACAGGCACAGTAGGTAGAGAAAACCTCCTTAAATAAAGTATGGTAAATGTGTATTTAAAAAAGTCCAAAACCTCATTTCCTGTTTCAAGTGACATACTTTTTGACACATTGTTAAGGAACCTCAGTACTTTTATTTTTGAGTTATTTTGAATGTTTTTCAATGTTGCCTGAAGATATTTTGTAACTGAGTAGCCGTGAACACACATTTATTAATGTTTTAAATGCAGAGCATGAATAGCTGGTTGTGTAAAACAGCTTAATAAAACTAGGATTGTTTTTCAAATACATTTTGAGTACTGTAATGAACACTTATTAAATCACAGGAACTTTCATACATACCAAATGAATCTTCCTCCCTCTGGAAAACCCTTTATTTTTTTAGGTCACAGGCATTGTTACTTATCAGAGTAAAAAGTCATAAACAACATTTTGTTGTTGTCGACTCACAGCGACCCCTCCTTGGGTTTCCGAGGCAGTATCAACAGAAGTAAGATTGTGCAACCTTTTTTCCGAGGGGCGGCGGGTGGGTTTGAACCGCCAGCCTTCTTTCTGGTTAGCAGTCAAGTGCCTTAGGCACTGTGCTACCAGAGCTCCTCATAAACAACATTATCAACCTTAAATGTATGTTGTTGTTGTAATGTGCCGTCGAGTCGGACCTGACTCATAGCAACCCCTCCTTGGGTTTCCGAGGCAGTATCACTACAGAAGTAAGATTGTCCAACCTTCCTTCCGAGCTGGTGGGTTTGAACAACTCCAGCTTTCTGGTTAGCAGTCAAGTGCCCCAGAGCTGTCAGTTCAAGTTTTCCTAATGATTTCTTTGAAATGTATTTAGTCAGTGAAAATGGTCAGTCATTACTAATAAGCACTCCAAATCACATTGGCTGTAAGGCTAAACCATTTAAAACACCATTGTCTCACCTAACAGAAAAATGCCACATGTGACTATATAAGACCTCTCTTTAAAAAAGCAATACAACAGAGTAGAACATCATTGATTTATTGTTATTGACAAGGTTTATAGGAACAAATTAAATATTTAAAATCAAAGGCCAATTCTTAGGTCTCATTTACTTGCTTATTCCATTCATTTGTATTAATTTCCTTAATGGCTTTATGAAGAAATAAACCTGTGAAAGTACCTGTTAACATTGAATATATAACATTTTTACATGTTTTTTTTCTGTGAGCCAAAGATATTTTTATCTCAAACACTCCATTGGTATATCAAAGGGCAAATTTTCTCATAAGAAGGATGTTTTATTTAAAAATTCAGATAGATTATGTAACAAACTAATAAAGACAGTCAATATAAAAGATAATGATGAGTCTAATTCAGGAGTGGTCTATATATGTTGATCACTTTGAATCCTGATTAGCCAAAATTTAAAACCCAACAGCCTTGATTCCACAAATACATTACATTTCTTTAATGTGAAAATAAGTTTATTATCACTTTTGAGAAACACTGTCAGAGATCTCCACTGCTGCCTACACATTATCATCTTTTGGCATTATACCTGGTACTTTATCATAATTACGAAGGTTGCCAAAGTTTTCCTGTAAATATAAGCATTTTATACAGGCAAAGCAGTTAATAAAAATCAGTTCACTTACTATAAGCCAAGTGTGCTTATACTTAATCCCACCCTTTCCCAAAGGTTTTAAAGTTGTTTTGCTTTGTTGGTCTGTCAATATAAAATGTATCTATAGACATTTTTGCAGAGTTAGCACTAAAACTATAAACTGATGACACTTTCAAGGCAAAGCAGAGGAACAATCTGTTCTTCAGTGAGGCATCTTCACTGAGTTTCAACTTCCACTGCTCTGTCATACCAATCTGGCTGAACACTGACATTTCATAGTTTGTAACTATAAAGATACCTACCTATGTGAGTTTAAAAATTGATCTGCACAAAAGAAATTAAAAAACTTTATATACAACAAATTTGTCTTTAAAAATACAAAAATAATATCTGTCACTTTTGTCATGCTGACAACTGGACATATATACACATGCAGGAGAAAAGTTCAAATTTGTCACCCGACAGTTGTAGTTTGTATAATTTTAATATGATGAACACACTGCCACTGGAGGTATGTATTCAAAATATTTCGTACACTAAATACTGCAATATTCTCTGCATGTATAGATGCCGATAATAATAGTTTTTGTTCTACTTGATTAAAAGGATGTCTTAAGCACGCTAATGTTAAGCACACTAAAAACCACAAGAGTTCAAGAATCTATGACCTTAATAAAGAAATCAAAAATGTACAAAATAGAACTATAAAAGGAACAATTACTGCCATGCAAGCTTTTAAACTAAACACTGCACAGAAATGCAATTTAAAACGGCAAAGTCAAATGTACCTAACACTCGCGATCAAAAAGGTCAGCAGTAAGTTCTACCAACGCAATGCTTAACAAGGATTTAGAAAAGGAAATACATTCTCTTTGCTGGTATAAATCAGATCTTCAAATCCATGGGGCCAAGTCGTCTGTCTCTAACGTGTATCTCAAGAAATTAGCTGTAATGAAAGAGAAACATTATTTTCTTATACCCAACATACAATATTAAGTACACATTAAAAAAAAAAAAGTTTATTTTACTACTAAAAATTCCACATTTCTCTTTTACTACTAATGAGCCTTGGTGGTACAGTATTTAAGCACTCAGCTACTAACCAAAAATTCAGTTTGAACCCACCCAGCAGCTATGTGTGAGAATGATCTGGCAAAGATCACAGCCTAGAAAACCACAGGGGGCAGTTCTACTCTGTCACATGCGGTTGTTATGAGCTGAAATAGACCCAAGAGCACCGTTCAACAACAGTTTACTACTGTGACCTGTGGGAAATCAGCTGGGATCAATATAAAACTGGAGCTGCTGTTCTTCCTTCACCTTTGACTGAAGGACAAGAACTTACTTTAAACGAGGTGCCATGCTACCTATGATACTGAACCCACTTCTTGATCCAAGTTCATGTTTTGTCCCTAACTATTCAGACTCTATTTTTTAAGCTCTAAAACAGTAATGAAAAGAAGTATCTGTCCCTATCTACTTTAAAGGAATTTGAGGATTGAATATGACAGTGACATGAATGCTTTGGAAAAATATGCAGTGTCTCATACATAGGATTTCTTTTTAGTCTTGTTTATGTCCAAAATGATCAAACTTAGGAAAGATGGAAACACTTACCTCTTTAACAGTTGTTTTTATGAAGTCTTTCCTTTCAGTTAAATCGTAAGCTGGATAATTTTCATATACCTGTAGTGAAAGGGAAAAAAAATGTTAAAAGTAGATTAAAAAAAAAACACTAATATTCTCTATCTTTGGATAAAAGTAAAAAGTTCATGCTAAAAATAAGCTACCTGCAAGTGCACCTAATAATACTCTGGTGTACCACACAGAACTGTATTGCAAATGAGTAGTTTTAATACTGTATAAAGAGCAGAACATAAACTGGCATGCAAACATTCTAGTGCTTTACAAACTAGTACTTTTGGTTGAATTCAGAATAAACCTGGGTGAGGAAAACAAGTAAGTTTTAGCTTCGGGGGGCTAAGTTCTTTATATTGGCAAATTTATCTGTCAGGTATTTTTTTAGGGATATTATCTTGAAATTTCTTCTGTTACACCATTCAACGTTCTACTTCGGATTCCTCAACTTGAACTCCAATGAACTTCAGCCTCCACTGTTCAATTCCTTCTCCAAAGCTACATCACTAGGATCCATGTAGTCTCAGGAATCCTCTACTTTAAAATCCTTAACCTTTAAATACCTGTCTTTTGTCAACTTCCTAAGTCCCATTCTATCTGCTGCTTGACTTCATAATGACTTCTAGTCCTTCCATGTGCTCAGTCTATTAGAAAGCACCTACTGACTCACTCCTATCCTACCATTCAAGGCTGGCAAACTTTTCATGTAAAGGACCGGATAGTGAATATACTCACTTCTTACTTACGAACATGGTTAGGCTCCAAAGACAAAATCATCATGCATTTGTAAACCAGTGTTATGCAAAAATGGAGAATTTTTGTTTTCAGACCATCTGGTTTTTTAAACTTGCAATATGATCACAAAAATAATGACTAGGATTTACTGATCGCTCATAACTGTGACAAGTCCACTTATGGGTTACTCCTCTGCAGAGAAAGAGGCTTAGAGGAGACAAAGCCAGGCTGTGTGACTGGAGAGGGCCCATGGCTTAAGCACTTCATCTTCCTCCTGTGCTGGGTCAGAGCTTCCATCAGGGGAACTGCCTCTAGGGCTCCACTCCCACTCCTGAAAGCCCTGATAAGTCTTGAGGATTCCTGCAAGGGTGCTGGGAGCCTGGCAGCACAGAGTCACTGGTCACTCTGAGGGGCTTTAGGACCAGCCTGGCTCACTTTGGGATGTCATTAAAGTCACATGCCTTTCTTCCAAACACCCTCTCATTGCCTCTTTTCTTACATCCATGGCAATTTTGAGCTGTAGAGCCTCAGGCTGCACAGGAGCTAGGAAAAGAACAGGCATCTGCTGGCTAGGTGTTGCCTGCATTCCATTCAGAGGGGGTGCCACCAGTAGGAAGGGGCAGGAAGAAGCAGAGGCTGATGGGCAGCATGGCCCAGTTATCAAAAGCCTCTTGGAGACCCTCCTCAAGAGAAGGGATGCTCTCCAGCAATTGCTACCATACCTGCTATCTCATTAATGCACAAAATACTTAAATATTTTACTATTGTCATAAATGTGAAATGTTGGCTAAAGAGATAGTGAAGAAGTGATGAGCAGGTGTATTTTCACCACTCTGGGCCACAGTTTTTCTGTCATTATTAGTAAACTTTGCCACTGAAGTGAAAAAGCCACCATACTTGCTGCTGGCGAATCACTTCCAACTCACAGTGGCTCTATAGGACAGACAGAATTGCCCCCATAGGGTTTTCAAGGAGGTAAAAAGCAGACTGCCACATCTTTCTCCTGTGTAATAGCTGTAGATTCAAACCACCAACCTTCTGGTTAGCAGTCAAATGCCTTAGGCATTGTGTCACCAGAGCTCCTTAAAACCATCATTAAAAAAAAAAACAAACTCACTGCCATTGAGTAGATTCCGACTCATAGCTACCCCTTTTAGGTTTCCAAGGTGGTAAATCTTCACAGAAGTAGATCATCCAGTCTTCCTTCCACGGAGTAGCTAGTGGGATTGAACCACCAACCTTCTGGTTAGCAGTCCAATGCCTTAGGCACTACACCACCAGACATACTTAAATGAATGGGTGTGGCTGTGTTACAATAAAACTCTATAAAAACAGGTGGTAGGATAGATTTGGTCTTCAGACAATAGTTTGCCAACCCCTGCAAATAAAATTCATTTAAATTACTCTAATTTTTTTTTTTTGCCCCTTGTTCTAAAAAAACTCCAACCCTAAATTAGTCTACCTACCAACTTTTCTGTAGTTATCAATTCTGTGCTTAAAGCTACCAAATGATGTTGGAAAATATAACTACTCCAAAAAGATTGGCCCTATTTTAAGTTCAGAGTCCTTGGGTGGTATAAACAGTTAACACATTCAGCCGCTAACCAAAAAGTTTGAATTTCAAATCATCCAGGAGTCCTTCAAAAGAAAGACCTGTATATACACTTCCCAAAAAATCAGCATTTGGAAATCCTATGGAGCATGTTCTACTCTGACAAATACGGGGTTGCCACAAGTCAAAACCAGCTCATTGGCAATGGTACTTGTGAGAGCCAAAAAAATCTTCTTGGGGCTACCTTAAGAAGCTCTAGTGGTGCACTGGTTACAGCATTTGGCTAACCAAAAGGTCAGTGGTTTGAACCTACCAGATGCTCTGTGGGGGCAAGATGCGGCAGACTGCTTTCATAAAGATTTATAGCCCTGGGAACTCTAGGGGCAGTTCTACTCCATCTTATAGGGTCACTATGAGTTGGATTCTAGACAATGGCAGTGGGTTGAGGGTCACCTTATCTACACTCCTGCTTCAACTCCCAGCAATATCCTACTCTAGATTTCTCTACTAAACTGTAGAACTACCATGTTCACAAATTCTTCCTCTTAGATATTCTGAAGCACTCCATCTCAAAATGTCTAGAATGAAATTTTTTCCTCAGAAAGTACTGGTTCTGTTCTATTCCCTATTATGACTGATGCTGCTCAAGCCCTTAACCTATAATGACACTACATTTGATCAGGTTCTCTTGATTTCTAGCTTGGATTATAGCAATCCTATAATTTATGGCATAAATTTTGTTTCCTGATGCTTTCTCTCATCCCTCTCTAATCAACCCTTCTTGATGTTTCTAGAATGACTTAAAAAAAAATCTGATTGTCATGCCTCTCAATTTCCAATAACCAACCCAGCATCCCAATTCTCCTTTAGTTTCAGGAAGAAAACCAAGCTCTGTATCAAGTCACATATAAAAACCTGAATAACTCTTTAGTTAACATAAAGACTTCCTTCTAACCCTAGTCTTCAGCCATATTAAACTAATTAGTACTTCTTACAGTATTTCAGTGAATATGTCAATGTTATTCAACTATATGACTATACAGAACAACTGACACTCTAAGAACCCAGCACAGGATCTCTTCCAAGTCCATTTTCCAGACTGTCCAACCCTTACTCACTGTCCTAAGTAGGCCCTTTTTGTTCCGTGGTGCTGTAGTGCCTTCTGCACTCTTCTAACACAGCCCTAATTACTAAAATACTTTCAATATCTCTGAATCTCTTTGTATTCTACTGGACTGTACGCCCCTAAAGCCAAATAATGGTTTCCTCTGACTGTACCTCTAACATCTAGCCCAGTGCCCAGTATGTGATAGAGGCTAAATGAATGCTGAATGAATAAACAGACAGCAGTCAATGTCCTGAAAAAAATATAGAACATTTCACCTTGGTATATGTTCAAGTTTTAATTTTTTTACTGTAAGTAACTTGACTCTTAAAATCTCCCAATTTTGATCTGGGATTTGAGATCCTGAAAAGTATCAGAACTTCATTGAAGCCCAAATTGAGAACCCACTTAGAATATCTCATTTACCATACTAATACTGAGAATAAAGTGGCCCACAAGAGTCAGCTTTTTAAACTAACACAATCTAAGGATGAACAATAAAAACAGGAAAAGTTTTCTACATGGTTTGGAATGTACCATTTTAGTTTTTAAAATTGTATTCATTCTAGTATTATTTATGAAAAAACTCCCATTAAAGCAGACTTTTATTTAATGTGGCACCCTAGCACCTGAAAGAGTGCTTGGCATGCGGTAGGAGTTCAATAAATACTTGTTCAATCTATGAATAAACATAGGATCTAGCTTTGAATTAATGGATTGATAAAGAAATGTTTCAAATGAAAGCAAAACGCTCCAAGCATTTGTTCAATTACCTCTTTGCAAATTTGCTTCATTGTGACTTCCTCTAAGTTAGCATTTGCCAATAATTTCTTTACTGTTTCCTTTAACTCTTCATCTGTGGGAGGTTTCTTCAATTTTTTAATTAAAGGTTCATCATCTGAACTATCCTCAGATTCACTTTCTAAAAGTAAGAAATTTTATTACATGTTAATATAAATTTTTGTTATGTAGTAAAGTAAGTTAATACTCAAGACCGATTGGTAAGAATTCTATAAGCGTTCATCAGATCTCAAAGATTACAAATCCCTATAGTTTACTATAAAACATGCATTGAAATTTTAATAATTTTTACAAATAATGAACTATTAAAAAACTAGCATGCTACTTTTCCTCCTAATGTTTTAAGTAGCTTACCTATTTTTCACATACACTTAAACACTATGCTGTAACATGTACGTTACATATTTAAAGGCACTGATAATGTGTCTAACGTACCTTTTTTGGAACTGTTTTGATTCTTCTTGGTGGTGCTGCTATCTGCCTTCTTGACATTAGCACTTTTTACAGATTTTTTACTTTTAGAAGTGGCTTTCGGTTTAGGTTTTTCTCTTTTAGATGTCTTTTTTGGTGACTATTGAAAAGGAAAGCAAAGTACACATGTGGATGAGATTCACTGTCATCACTCTACTCACCCTATACTCAAAACATTAGAAAAAATTAATGTATTAGTATCACTTATTAAAAGTTATTCTCAATTATCAATTCTTGAGAGATGGCTAATAAAACTCAACAAACTTTATTTTTTCTCAATATAAGACGAGGCATAAGTTATATATACATCAAGCCCTAAAATAGATTCCCACATTTTTCTGCGCTAAGGATAGAAAATTTTATATTTATTACCTTACTTAATATTGGAAAAACCCCTAAAACACAGGTACTATTATTATCTTCAAGTAGCCCTGGTGGCACAGTGGTTAAGCACTCATGTGCTGACCGAAAGGTTGGCAGTTTGAACCTACGAGCTGCTCCACAGGAGAAAGATATGGCAGTCTGCTTTCTTAAAGATTTACAGCCTTGGAGTAACCCTATGGAGAAGTTCTACTGTACCCTACAGGGTTGCTGTGAGTCAGATCAACTGTTTTTTTTTTTTTTTTTAAATCCTCTTATTTATTGTCTCTCTCTCACACTAGAATACAGAATTTATGAGGACAAGGATTTTTTTTTCCTTCTTGCGTTCAGTGTGTCTGCAGTCCCTAAAATAGTGCCTAATACAAAGTATTTGTTCAATAAATATATATGAATATATGAAGAAACTGAGCACAGAGAGGCTAACTTGTCCAGTTATATAACTAATAAATAAGGCAAAATTCAAATAGAGGCCTGCCTGACTCCAGTACCTAGATTCTTAAACACTAACCTTAGACCTGATTAAAACAAAAGTAAAACACATGCATATGGATAGATTAAAGACAAAATTACTCTGTATTTCAACCAGGTCTATGAAATACTAATTCTTCATTTAATACATATCCTCAAAGTAAAACATCCAATATAAACATCCCAGGACAAATTCTCACATTTACACACCAAAACTGCTGTAAATCACTTTTGATAGTATGTTTCTTCAAATGTTTTATACTCTTGACTTCTGAGTATTATAATCACAATTCAACCTTCTATTTTTTTTAGGACAGAGCCACTGTGTCTATCTAACCTGTCATTGAAGAAGATTAAAGTTATATAACAATCTGTTCCAAATATTAAGTGGGCTCATCGGGCTGCTTCTAAGTGCAGTTCATAGGATATTGTTGTTGTTGTTATGTGCCGTTGAGTCGGCCCTGACTCATAGCGACCCCTCCTTGGGTTTCCAAGGCGGTATCACCAAGGAAGTAGATTGCCCAACCTTCCTTCCGAGTGGCTGGTGGGTTTAAACCGCCAGCCTTCTGTTGTTGTTGTTATGTGCCGTAGAGTCGGCCCCGACTCATAGTGACCCCTCCTTGGGTTTCCGAGGCAGTATCACTACAGAAGTAGGATTGCCCAACCTTCCTTCCGAGGAGTGGCTGGTGGGTTTGAACCGCCAGCCTTCTGGTTAGCAGTCAAGTGCCTTAGGCACTATGCTACCAGAGTTCCTTCATGGGATATTAGTGTTTGTTTTCTCCCTTGCTGCACTACCATCATTGCGTATCTCTATATAAGCCCAACATCACACTGCACTATCCCAGTAACTGAACTATCCAGTCCAACTGCCACTAAGAATGAATTTAACAGATATCAAGGGCTGATATGCATCTTAAAGTAAAGTACATGAATTTTACTAAGGAATTTTCCTGTCTGAGGGTCATTCTTATTTATTTTTTAATCCTCAGAAATGTTCTAGATGGTAGGGGTTGGATAGGCATCAACGTTTCAATTTTCATGACCAACTTAAACTAAGTTTAAAGTTTAATATTTGTCCACCTAGATCAAAAGAACTACACTAGGCTCTAAAAGGAAATATTAAAAATTCTTAAGTTCTGCTGATGCATTTAATACACAAAACAATCACTACTGTCACTCTCCCAACCAGCAAGGTGGTATAAATGGTTTAGCGCTTAGATACTAACAGAATGGTTTGCATCCACCTAGAGCCATCTCGGAAGAAAGGCATGGTGATCTACTACTTAAAGATCTCAGCTCAGCCACTGAAAACCCTATAGAGTGTAGTGTAGTTCTACTCTGAATTACATGGGGTTGCCATGAGTCTGAATCACTTGGTTTTATTATCATTCTCCTATCAAAGGTTAAATAAAATCTAGGTGTATAAGTCATTCAAATACTTTATAAGAAACTAGGCTATTATTTGAAGAGTTGAGGAAGACAAGAGATAATGATGTTAGAAGCATTATAACTTGACCCCCATTCAAATTTGATAATTAGAATTATATCATTAAAATACTTCCAGAGGTTTTCAATGCTGAGGTATATAAGGTTGTCATTAACATTTTGGAAGGCAAACACAGTATGAACCCATTCTGAAACCTATACATTGGCAGTAGTGTACTTTGACAAAGCATAAAAATTTGCATTGACAAATAAACGATAATCAAGACATCTCCGTAAAATTTTTCTTTTGGACAAACACAAAAAATTCAAAGTGTACATCTAACATTTAATATCATCTTCTGGAAAGAGTTGTTGTTGTTGTTGTTGTTGTTATGTGCCGTCGAGTCAGACCTGACTCATACGACCTCTCCTTGGGTTTTTGAGGCAGTATCACTACGGAAGTAGATTGCCCTATCTTCCTTCCGAGGAGTGGCTGCTGGGTTTGAACCGCCAGCCTTCTGGTTAGCAGTCAAGTGCCTTAGCCACTATACTACCAGAGCTCCCTCTAGAAAGAGTAGTGTTCTGTAATTTTTCTATGCAGACAACTAGTAAGTCTTTGGCCTCTTATCTGTTAACAAAATTTCTGAAAGATCACAAAAGCACAGTCACAAGAATGACAAAAGATAAAACATAACAGTGGGGGGGCTAGAGTCAGGCTGCCTGGTTTCAAACTCCAGCTCTAGTTCATCTCTAGGCGCTGGTTTCCTCGTCTACAAAACGAGAAAAATAACAGCATTTATTGTTTTATGGGGAGTGAAAAGCATTACTACTATATGAAAGTACTTTTAATGGTGCCTGGTACCTAGGAAACAATAAATACTAGTTATTATTACTATTAGAGAGCTCTGGTGGCACAATAGTTAAGGCCTTCAGCTACTAACCAAAAAGGTCAGCAGTTTGAACACACCAGCTGCTCTGTGGGGAAAAAGATGAGAGTCTGCCTTGGAAACCCTATGGGGCTGTTCTACTCTGTCCTATAGGGTCACTATGATTTGGAATCGACTTGATGGCAGTGGATTCATTATCATCATCAGTGTTTCCTTTAGTAAAGTGAAAATTTCTTTTCTTATGCAAATATAATTTCCTCTAATAACATGAAGCAAGTTTTCTTTAAAAGCAAGGAAATGAAATTATAACAACAGTAAAATGGACTCATTAACACCTGTGCTAATTAATCATGATGCATCATTCTTGTATCACTGCATGACTGGACCCGTGGACATCCGAATCCCTGTAATGAGTCATGTTATTTATACTGGATTTCACTTGTCTTTGTTCACCAGTTGCAAATTATTCTATGACAAACACAGGGTAAGAATTCAATAAGCCACCTTTTTTAGACTGACTTGTGTTCACATGCATGGGAAAACAGTGAAAGAGCTAAGCACTGAGATAATGCATGGACACTCATATCTAAGGGGATCATCCTGGGCAGGGGCAAGGTAATTGACTAACTCACATCTTGTGCTTTAGTCTTGCAGGTGTCAGGACTCACTTCAGCTGCACTATAGCTGTGTTACTGGTAGGGAAAAGAGGTAACTTTGGAAAATGGAAGCATCCCCAAGGACAGACCTCAGTACTGGGACACATGGACAGTTTCTGGCAGTTAAAACAAACGTGGTATCTTGAAAGTAAGGGAAAAAACGGATTGAGAGAACCAAAGCAGCAAGTTAAGCCATACTCATTTTAATTTTTTGTGAGAGTTTCAAATGTTCTTTACTTTCTCACTCTGGAATTCCACTCCCCTTCTTTGCCTGAGGCGCTCCAGTAGCGTAATGCCTAAGGCATTTGACTGCTAATCAGAAGGCTAGTGGTTCAAACCCACCAGCGACTCCTCGGAAGGAAGACTGGGCAATCTACTTCCGTAGTGATACTGCCTTGGAAACCCAAGGAGGCGTCACTATGAGTGAGATCTGACTCAACTGCAATGAGTTTGGGTTTTTTGGTTTTTCTATGTCTGGGAAAATCCAACTTACATTCTAAATCCAGCTTCACAATTGCCTCCTCCAAATCTTTCACAATACCATCAATGTGATAAATCCGTATTCCCATAGTACTTGGCCTACAATTGATTTATTCCTATTTTATGTATGGTATTGGGAGGCAGTGAGTAAGAATGCAGGCACTAGATCCAAACTTCCTGCTTCAAATCTGACTCCAATGCTAAGATTGCATTCTCAAGCAAATCACTTGCCTTGACTAATTTTGTGTTCTCAGATAATCACCTGGCCCTTCTCTGTGCCTGTTTCCCCAACTTTAAAATGGAGGCAATAATACCAAACTTTGCTGGCTTTTAACATTTACCCATCTCTGACACTGGGGTATATTTTACAATTTCTGTAAAAATGCCTTATAGGCATCTGAGATTTGATAAACTATGCTTGTTATCCACAGTAGAGTTGTTGTGTGGATCAAATTAATAAATATACATTAAGCAGCAAAGAACAAACAATAAATCTGCATTTATTGTTGTTACTAAGTGTCACTGAGTTGACTTTCACTCACAGCAACCTCATGTTACAAAGAAGAACTACACCATAGGATTTTCTTGGCTATAAACCCCATGGAAACAGATCACCAGGTCTTTCTGCTGCAGTTGCTGGTGAGGTTCAAACTGCCAACCTTTCAGTTAGTATACTAGCACTTAACTGCTGCACCACCAAGGCTCCCTGTATGTTAATTAAATGGTAGTAATTTACATGTCCATTTTCCCACTATTATACCAGTCTCCATGAGAAGAGACACCTGACCATCTATTTAAGCCCT